TCCACCAACATGTATACTCTGTGAAGAGCGCCTAACGGTTTTGCATGTCCTCATTCGATGTCCTGTGCTTCACCAAGCATGACTGACCCATTTCAGGGAGCTCTACCGGTATCATATCCCACTTCATCCCGCGCTGTTTTTATCACTTGATTCAGTGTTTGACTTTAAGAGACTTCTTCATTATCTTGGGAAAGTCAAATTTTTAACAATGATATCATTCCATCCTAGACACCAGGCTGAGCCTCATGTGTGAGGTACTGCCTGGTGCAAAAAACACAAGTATGTCTGAGCCTTCCGCAGTTCTTGCCCAAGCAAGGACTTCAGCCGTGAGGGTCTTGGACCTTGTTGACTCATCTATTGTCGTAGACATTTATCGCCAACGAAATGAAGATTTTTTAACAAAGTGACATTCCTTTTAAATGCACTGTGTTTTAGATATTTCATAGATATTTACTACACATCATTTGTTTTAATTTTTAGACTAATAAGCTGAAACGAGACAATGCTTGTACTGGTGCTCCTTGGCTTTAGATGCCCTTGCGGCAATAAAACTTAATAATAATAATAACTAATGAACATTGGTCGATGTTGCTAGAGCGGCATCTCTTTGTGCTGTACCCATGAGTGCGCATCAAACTGGTTTAAGTACATACTGGATATTGACGTGCATTGTCTCGCTTGCATGTGCGTAGCTGCTGAGAGTGGTGAACAAAGTTCAGGGCAGAGCAAACCAAAACTGAGACCAGAAAAATTCCCCGAAAACTACATGTATCGGAACTGAATGTATTCTGGTATATATTGGGCCGTCTGAGTGCGCATAATTTCTCTGTTCGTCCTTCCTATTAATTTTCACTTGTGCTGCACTTTGTTAAAGAAAAGTGCTGACCGGGCCATGAGTAGATTATTCTGGTGTCGGTAGCTTTTGCTTTTTATTTCTAGAGTACTGCATCTGTTTTGGGAAAGCAAGGTTTGCAATTGTTTTTCTCGAGAATCGTACGTAGTGATATTTGGTTTTGAATTGGGAAATGACCGGCATGGCTAACAGGAAAACAGGAGTCTTTTTATTTTTAGTTTTTGCAACTAGTGTAAATTCTAAGAGCCACCCTAACACTGGCATGATTGCTCCTAGTTAGCAAGAGGGTACTGCTACATAGCTAACACCAAGGGTGAGACAATCTGCCTACAGGAGATGACAAAGGGGGCTGGCCCGTCCGGTGTGTGTGCTGTTCTCCATCTTGCTCGGTGTTGTGCACAACAGTGTAAATAAACACACTTGTAATTAATTAGTCGTGCCTCATGTAGTTTTATGTAACCATTTCATTTTAATGTCGTCACACTTTAAGCACATATTTAAGTGGCCAGTGATGGGGGGGGGTCTCATCTCATATAAATTACAAGAGTTAACGCGATAACCTCAAAAAGCTCGTTTTGCTGAAATTCCGCCGTCGGTATTGGTGTCGTTGGTTGTGTGCGAAAAATCGTCATCTTTGCGTGAGTGAAAAATCGAGCAGCTTTGCGTCACTGAAAAATCGAGAAAGATGCAAATAAAATAAACGATGAAAAATTGTGGGTTTGAGTGGGGGATCGAACTCGGGTCGTTTGTGTGGCAAGTGAGTGTTCTACCACACAGCGGCGCCTCTGCTTGTGAATACAGTAAGAGTAACTTCCTCTGCTTGGGTCTTTACGAACACACATGTCCTGTATACATGCTTCACAATGCGACGTGAAATATTGCTGTAATGATGCGTGGTATAAGTATACATTGCCATCAGGTGTCGGAACATGCGATTATCATAATGACTTCATAGTTTGAAGCCAGTCAGCCGCTACAAAAGGCACACACGCTACTGCACCCTTAAGGCCATGTAGTGGGTGCATAGCAAGTTCGAAAAGATTTCATGCACTACGTGTTCAAAGTACGCACTACGAACAGAATATCGCTGTCGCGTTCAACTCTTAAAGGCAAAGCTTAAAGGGACACTAAAGTCAAATAACAATGTACGTCAGAGTGAAAGCTCAGTGTATGACACCTAAAACAATAATATTATCAAGAACAGTGCTCTACTTACAAAGAAATTAAAGTAAATGCGCAAGAATACGTGCGCCGTAGTAGGACATGCTCAAAATGATCCCGGTGACATCAGACAGACCGCCTACAATTAATCATTAGTAATCAAACTAAATAAAAAACCTTCCGTACATCAAGAAATGCAATAAAATGCTGCTTGTTCGTTTCTATTTGATTCATGGAAAAAATAACTGTTGGTCAATACTATGGGGAATGACGCAAGTGGTTCAAAAATTCAATTTTCGTATAGTTACACTGCACAGGTGGTGCCATCTAGCGGGGCGCAGTTGAACCATAATATGTCTGCGATCTTGGAGCCAATGGTGGGAAATTGATCAATGGCCCTTGTTGCTGCTGCAGTAGAGCGGGGCAACGTCGTGCACGGCAGCAGCGACATCAGACGGTTTGGTTGGTCCGCTTCTTGAGGCGGGTAATTTGAAGTGCTCTAACCCGATGCGGACCACTAAAATGTCATTTTATTATAAAATTTGCCCTTCCTTGGCACAAACGTAACACTACGAGGTTTCTGTACCGCTATTTCAACAATCAATGTCGACATAATAGTTGCCTTGAAGTGATTACTGATAGTGTACATTAAGTGGCGGTGGTAAAAGGCCTGGAGGCTTATGAAAAGAATTCAACTGAAGTTGAGGACAATGCAGCAAGCAAGAGAAAGGAAAATGGTAGGTGTGGCCTCGAGACAGGAAGAGAGCAGAGCAGGTCGAGGAACAAACAGGTGTTAAGGGCATCGTAGACAAAATAAGTAAGGAATGGGCATGTACCACGAAGGCAAGATAACCGGTGGTCATTTAGGCTAACACTCGATTTCAAGGGAATGCAGGTGTGCTAGGGGAGACAAGAAGTAGGGTGGGCAGTTGAGGTTGAGAAGTTTGCACATATAACATGGTGCAGCCAGCATAGGCCTGATTTTATTGGAGACACGTGGCCAAGGCTGTAGCCCTGCTGAGGGCACAGGCTGATGATGACGTAAAGCAGGCGTCACAGACACGCAGGCTTACTAGCGGCCCACCGTGGTCTTCGTCTCATTTTTTTTTCTGAATAAGTTTGTTCATGAGATATACCGATGTGATCGGTCTCTATCATTATTTTCTTTAGGCACCCCTTGTGGCTGCCATGCTGGAAAACATGACCATATCATTTTTTACATATCAGAGTTAGCGTCTAGATTGCCTTCATTCTTGAGGTCGGTATCGATGTATTTGTCAAAACCTCGCATCAAATCCTCTGCAGAAATGATCCTTATATGGCATATGACAAATGCATGCTTTCAAACGCCAACATTAGTTCACATTTTAATGCAATAGCGTTAGAGAGCTAGCAGAACTTCTTGCGTAGGCATCATTAATTGTAGCCGAAAAAACATCATCTTGTCTGTTACTTAAACATCAAGAAAGGCTGCAAATAAAGTAATTAATAAAAAAAAAGAGAAAAGATCGAACCGAGGTCGTCAACATGGCAAGCGGGTGTTCTACCACAGAGCCATGAGGCTTGTTCAAACTGCTTTGAAAAAACACTGCATGAGTGTGATATAGTTAGTGGAAGGAGTCTTCTTAATGCATCATATGTTGCGAGGCAGAAGCATGGAATTTTGACAGGCGTCAGAAGATGTGAATTGAGCAATGAGTGAGTGCTTCAAAGGCCTACCCTTACAAAGCATCCAAACATGTTTAATCATTATCAGTAGTAGCAGAACCATCTACAGAAATGAACAGCTGCATAGATTCGCGTGTTGCCCTGCGGACGCACAGTGAGCACCTAACTGTGCTTGCAATAGGCATTCAGTGATACATAGAAACGACAAATGTTACGCGCTTTTTTTTTTGCTGCATGGGCAGAGGCGTGCACTGAGAACTGATGAAAGTTAGGAGTCTAAACGGCGTTGCGCGCGAGGTGCAATTATGCGGTTGCGACCTACTTTTGAAAGCTGAAGTGTCCCCCAATCTGCCTACATCCCCCCTTTCCCCGACCCTCGTGGGACTAAATTTCGCGACTGTAGCTTACTAGCCGATGTGAGTTTGGGAGCCCTGACGTAAAGGGATAACACAGCAAGCTGAGATAGTTGGTATGTCAACATATTGGAATAAACGTGCATCACAGCACATATGGACTAAGAAACTGCTTACAGGAGCTGCTGACTGACTACTGATAAAGGGTGTAGTTGGTGGACCTCAGTTGAATGGAGGCAACATTTTGCTGTAATGAACTTAATAAACATTTTTAGTACGTTTAACCTTTACTGGCTGCTTGCATAATCAAGGGCTGGTGCTTCAAAATGTTCAGTCTTTCTCGAAATGCTGTAGCTATTGCAACATTCACAATGTATGGAAGGAGATATTGTTGTTCACAGCCAAAATGAAGTCTTGTGAAATATGTTGAGGTGATAGGAGACAGGTTAATTCATGATGTGAGTTTAGTGGCATTGAGTGTATGAGTGACCAAATGTTGAACTGTGCCATGGCTGTCAAGAATATTATAGGAAGTTTGTTCTATTGTACATCAATTTTGGAAATATGTTACAGCAATGACCACTTTGAAAACGGTTATTCAAGGTATCTTTTTCACTCATGACGTCAAAATTAATTTTTTACCTGCTTACTTTGAAAGGTAGCAAGTTATAGGTAGGGATTACGACAAAAAGTGACCTAGCGGTTGTACATTACTAGAGACTTCACTGCCCAAGTTCTAGTTGTAGCCTGTTTTGCATAATCTTGAAAAACATAAGCTGGCTTACATTTACACCTTTGAGATCTTAGTGGCATTTCAAGCATTCAGCCCGTGACAGTAGACAGCTCTTATCATTTTAAGATGATTTTCAAATGCATCGCTTGAGGCATGCTGGTGTTTTAGTGGATGGAAAAAAGTGTGGGCACTTTGCTATTGCCCGTGCACTCATTGCATTCATCTGATGCAGCGGACCAAGTGTATGGGGACCAGGAGATGCACAAGGCGGTGCGCAAGCTCTGCATGGACTACATGGTGCGTTTTCAAATCCCAACTCCCTTTTTTGTGGACATTTTATAGTGGGATTCACTCGTATGGCCTGGAAACCACTGTCTGGCTCACATGGCAGGCATCTTCTGTAAAGCGCGTGCTACCCGAAGCAGTCATTCTCTTTTCTTGCGACTTTGTGCTCTGCTCAAAAAGGAACTCAAAGTGAAATGAGTTTGCGTCTGCACCCTCCTGTATCCTGTCCAGTATGGCGACATGGAAAGAGTAATCGCCCAGTGGTTGAATATTGAGAAGCAATAATGACCAACTAATTTATTGCACAGTAAGAGGGTGACCGAACAGAGTGATGAAATGGGGTTTTATAACGCAGGCCACTGTGTGTTTTGCAGGGGTGGTAGCATGCTAGTAAATATGCAGTGTAAGCTTAGCTGTTAGTGTTGTGCTTTCTGCAATAGTCATATCATGAGCTTTCTTTTTTTAAATATGCCGAATCCAGAACCGAAACTAGCTCAAATAAGGCTCTATTCGGCACATACATACTTTGCTCTAAAACAGTAATGATAGAATCAGTAATTTATTATTAGATCTAGATGAGGGTATGTATGTCTACAAAGAACAGCGTCTTATTTTTTTTTTTTTCAGGCCAAGAATTCCGACTACTACTCTCAGTATGTGACTGAGGACTTTGACAAGTATTTAGAGCGCAAGCGGTGTGACCACATTCATGGCAACCACATTGAAATGCAGGCCCTGTCCGAGATGTTCAACCGGCCAATTGAGGTCTATCACTACAGCTCTGGTGAGTGCTATGCCTTGCTTACTGCCTTAGAGTTTGCCTACTATTGCTCTCTTTCAGTGGTTATAGTGCTTTGCTCCTGAGTTTGATACCATCCGCAGCGGTAGCATTTCTATGGAGGTGAAGCTGTGTGATGTCGGTTAATGTTTAAAATAAGCCCAGATGGTCCTAATTTCCCGAGCTTTTCACTACCACATCTCTCATAAATTTATATCGTGTTTTTGGGACGTAAACTCTCAGATGTTATTTTTCCATTTCATACTCATCAGGAGACTGCTGCATAAATAGTGCACTTGTAAAAATGTTATGCTTTTTAGGATGGTTTTTTTTTTTTGCTATATCTGTTATCGTCTAACTTTGGGATAGATCTTAATTTGAATGTATCACATTGATTCAAGTCAAATGATGTGTCTTTTTATGAAAGAAGAACTTGTTGTCCATCAGTTTATAATATCAAGCTAGAAAATAAATCTATGGTGACTTCTCTAAAAAGCTGCCAAGTTGGTGAAAACTTTTTTCTGGTCCTGGTACCTTAGTTCCAGGACTGACATCTTGCTGAAGTTGTGGCTCTGCCTTCTAAGCTGATCAAGAGGCTTGCGGGTAGCAGCTTAGACTTGAAAGAATGCAGACCAGTACACTCGCAAGCATGCACGCTCCTGCGCCCAGTGCTGCATATGCTTACATGCATGGTTCTTGTTCCACTGTACAGTTTCTAATTAGTTATCTAGGATGTGCTGCTAACTATCTCAATAGCTAGCTCTTACAATAACTGTAGCATGAGGGTAAATTAACTAAAATCAGGGAGCCCTGAATGTGGCAAATGTGTTCTGCAGGAACATCGGAAGTTTTTATGAAGTTGATGATGGAGAAAAATACAAGCTCAAATGGCTATAGAAGAGCCTGGAGCTTGAATCTCTTGTGTAAGAAATGATGCTGACGGAGCAATTGCGCTCTTTCTCTCTGGATGCATTTTCTCGTGATTGTGCTTTCTTTGCACAACTTTTCCGACATTGGACATTCACCAACTCGTTAAGAAAGAAGTATTAACGTTCGAACTTTCTAAGAAAAGCTTTAGGAGCAAAGCTCCTTATAGTCGAGGCTTGTCTACAGGTGTTGTGGTGTGCGCTGCCGCTGAGAATGACGATGATGTTGATAACGATGAAGCACACGCACGTTCCAGACCACACATTCTCTTTCTGCCATCACTTAAAGAACCCCAGGTGGTCAAAATTTCCGGAGCCCTCCACTACAGCGTCTCTCATAATCAAATAGTGGTTTTGAGACGTTAAACCCCACAAATCAATCAATCTTTTCTGCCATCACAGCGCATGTAAGGGACTTACTGTACGTCATGACAGTGACGTACAGTAATTTAAAAAAATAAGTACACATGCACAGTACATTAAAATTCGAAAAATAAGTGCACACATTAAAAAAAAAGGGAACTGAAGGCAGACCTAACTTAAAACACTTATTTAGCGGTAAAAAACTGCGGTATTATTGCGATAGCAATTCAGTTAATTCACGCTCTCGGCGGGTCCATTCAGACACTCTTGGGATTGGGGTCGCAGGTTTGGGGGTGTTTAGCACCAGCAGTAGCCATGCTGGCACGCCAAAACATGTGTAGCTGTAAGGGCCACTGAAGTAGCTAGCACGTACCTAGAATTATTGCACTGAATGATCAGCAGTCGCGCGTGCATCCCAAGTATTCAAAAGTACTGACGCAGCTTTAGGTGTGCAAGTTGGCTCAGCGGCAAAACGCACTCTACGCAGTGGCAGCTAGGGCAATCGGTAGCGCGTAAGTGTGGCGGCGATTCATCGGCACAGGTCGCTCGTTTTAATAGTCGTACTGCATGCACGTTTAATTATTAAAGTAATTTTTACTAATAACTGCACGTAGGCCACCAGAATGTCTGTGGCGTCTATTTCTGGGCATCGCAATCGAATTCACCGTGCTTCGCATGCACAGAAGAGCATGCGAATGGTGGGAAAGCATTGGCACTTTTCTTCTAATATATATTGACGGATATTCATCCAGAACAGCTTTTCCATAGTTCCTTCCACGAGCAAATCCTCGTTTGTAATTGCTCTTGCGGTAAATGCCCCTAAAAGACCCTATTCTTTCGAGCTCATGAGCGCTAGGGTTAGGGTCTGAAAGGGCACCAATGGACTTCCAAAATAGCGCAACGATGGTATTGCCGCCTTCAAAATCAAGGCTCAGTGCATACATCTTAACATATGGCCGCTTTAGGAAGCGAAGCACTTTTCACAAAGTCTTTTCGTGCAGCTGTCTGTGATGCGTGCCAAAATAGCGCGGATGCCAGTGATCACGACCGTGCCCCTAAAGTCAAAGTGCATGGTTGCTAATTTAGTGACACCCCCTTCCCTTGCATTCCTTCATGCTCCTCGAAGATGAGCGAAATGTTCCTCTCTGCCTGAGTAGTTTTGCATGCGAGGTGATGTTATCGTATGCGCCTTCCGCGCAACTGAGATAGGTTGGCTATTTTATCTCTGCTTCAGCCAGGTTTGATGCCTGTGCTTTTCCCCATGTGTAAAACAAGTGATGCGCGGGGAGATGTTATCGATTTGGTCATTACACAGAACGTGACGGCGACGGCAAAAATGCAGTCTATAATGTTCATTTAATTGCTATTTCAACAATCACGAAATAACTTATGTCTTGCGTCTCAGGCGAATGCATAAGTTGCCCTGTGAGGTTTTTTTTTTTTTTTTTTTCACTGCTTTGTAGAGGGCTCTAAGGGGCTTTTGGCATACAGACAGAATTCCCTGGTCATATGCAACATCGCTGCAAAAGGAAAACGAAGTTTGTAAAGCCATGTAGTCCATCTTTGATCGCACTTTGTGACACTTTGGAGAAGCTTGATTGAAGCATATCTTCATATACGGGCAACCCGGCGCATGTGCAAACGATAGCCTAAAAGCACTCTAAAAAATGATCTTGCTGCAGAACAGAGAGGCCTCAGGCAGAGGGAAGGGAAAGTCGGAGGAGCTTGGCTTTATGAGCTCAGCCAAGTAAGTGACGTCATGTTATGCCCAGAAATATAATTGATCGTGAAGAATAAGAACCGCTCTTTCTCCTTGGAGTTGTCCTAGAGAAATTCACTAGGGAAAGCGCGAGTATTAAGTGTCGAGGCGTTGTTGTACGTCTCAACGATTGTCTACTATGTCTGCTCATAACACCATAGATGTATTTAAAATGTTATTAGATCAAGTGCAATTTTATTGAACCAGAAATCTGTTCCTTTGCTGCAAAAATAATAACTGAACAAGTTGTTCTAGAATGCTCAAATTTATGACACTATTGTCTTTGCATTATCGAGTGAAATTGGGAGTGCTCCCAAGATAATTGGCTGCAGAATGCTCCAATATGCAAAATTACCTGCTCAAAAGGGCTCCAAAATGGAAAATTTTGCCTGTTGGAAGAGCTACAAACTGAAGATTTTGCTTCTCCAAAAATTTCTCCAAATCGGAAGACCTCGGCAGCATCAGTGCACTTTAGAGGACTTCTGATGACAAGCGTCTTTGTGAATAATATTGCCCATACTAAGACGGCATTCAGATTGTCTTGCTGAGTGCATGTTTCTTCTTACCACGTTAAGGCTCATCAAATTGAGACGTGAGCACTAGCACTCAGCAAATGCTGGTACAGTTTGCTGGTTAGCGAAATCCAGGAAAGAGCTTGCAGGAATTTACTTCTTGGAAAGTGCAGACTGTAAGGGTTTCTACAATATTATTAGCCTTTCATGGTTAACTTGTCCCAATAAGTGAGTGAACTTGTGATGACGCAAAAATAAATAGCACTAGAATAGAATTGTTACACTATTCTGTCCCATGTTTCTATTGTGGTATAGTCTTGGTGAGTAGTAAGCATTAGCATGAGGTATGTAATGCATGAGAATGGGCTCCTTATGAAGTCTTCATTGCCAAGAAATGTGGTGCCGTCAAGCTGCACTTAAGCTTGACTCGTAGTGCAGTGTCCATGCTCTGATTTGGGTGCACGTTAAAGAACCCAAGGTGGTCGAAATTTCCGGAGCCTTCTACTACGATGTCTTTCGTAATCATGTAGTGGTTTTGGGATGTTAAACCCCAGATACGGATTAATGCAGTGTCAATGTTTTTACATAACACCCGTTAGGAAATGTGCGTATCAGGTTTAACTCTTAGTAGCGTTGTCAGAAACGTCATTCTGCTCCCGTGGAGCCCTTTCCTGAGGGAAGACCTGTTGCTCTGCAGAGCCGATCAACATCTTTCACGGGGGCCAGCAGACGGACAACGAGCCGATTCGGCTGAGCTACCACCGCAATGTGCACTACAACTCGATTGTGGACCCGTACAAGGCTACGGTGGGCGTGGGCCTCGGCCTGCCGTCCTTCAAGCCCGGCCTGGCAGACAAAAGCCTGGTGAAGGAGGCCCTGCGTGCCTCGGAGGAGCTACAGCTGGAGCAGGCCATGCTGGAGGACAAGCTGCGTGCCACCGACTGGGAGGCCACTAGCGAGGCCCTCGAGGAGCAGGTGGCCCGCGAGTCCTACCTGCACTGGCTGCGTGAGAACGAGATGCGCACCCGCAAGAAGGTGGGCCTCTCTCTCTCTCTATCCATCAAGTGGTTGGAGGTCGCTACCAATTCCTGAAGGGTTAATATCGTTTGCCCCTAGAGAGGCTTCACAACCGTTTATTAGTGAACGCAAGTTGAATAAACTTGCTATGGTTACTTTGTACAGGATGTAACTACTCAACACAACTGGTCTCCACCCTTCTCCCCGGTGGAGGCTCACACCTCACATGCACCTTCATTTTGGTTGCTGGAAGTAAGGTTTATAGTTTGTGTGTAGCCATGGCAGCTGGTATGCTGGCAGAACAGCAAGAACACTGGAGACGCTATCGCAAGGCATCAGAAAAGTGTGCGCATTTGAGAAACTGTGTTTTAAACTAGCATTACAGCTTCTTTAAGTGCTGAAAATGTAGGAAAATTAGTAAGAATGAGAAACTAATTTGTTGAATTCGTTGAAATGCTAACCTCTCTGTGTTGCAGACCCGGTCAGCCACGGCCACATCGAGCTCAAGCCTCTCCCCCCTGGTGGAAGTTGGAGGCAACACGGCGGCATCTGGAGCGTCCTCTTCTCCACGTGGAGGCAGAGCATCTCCACGGTCACGAGCCAGTCCTCGCACACCGCCACTCGGAGGGGCTCAGGCACTCTCGGACCAGACGGACACTGTAACCCACGCCGGTGATGGCAAAGGTGAGCAGCCAGCCAGCTATCTTATGTGGGCCATTTCTTCAGTGGTGTGTTGTTTGCATTTGTATGCCTGCTACAGTCATATCTTGATAATTTTAACTCGAAGGGGCCCGAAAATTTGTTTGAACTGAAAGAAGTTAAAATTAATGAAAGCTAATTGAACAGAGGGCTTACCTGCTGTGGCGCATGTGTATTGAGCCAACACACGAAAAGGAAGTTTCAGAAGACTTGAGGTATGTTGACAGCGTGCTCCTAAAAGTGATGCTATCGCTGCGCCAATCGCACCAAATTGCTCCCAAGTGGTCTGGCTGCTACGTCCTGCTACATTTCCTAAAAATTTAGCAAGTCTGCTCCAAACCCCCGCCAGAGGGTGGATGCCAACTTTCAGAAATGACACTAACTACTTCAAGTTCTCCCATTGAAGGCGACGTCGTGGTGCACCTGCGTAGGACTTAGAAACTGCGAAATCTTACAAATTATAGGGGAAAAACAAAAACAAAACGAATAGATGTTTTTTCATTCTGTTCAAGCGGTCAGATCACCACAGCCATATCTGAAATAGCTTTAATGCCTCTCAGTACACTTCATAGGTATTTTGGGACATGTCTGGGCTTTCATGAATGCATTATGAACTAACTACATGCAAATTCCAATTGTTTGCATCTTGTGCTGAGCGCTGGCGATACACGCTGAGCGCGGAACCAAAAGAGCGGACTATTCGTGCCACTTTTCCTGATGCATGCGTTCACATAAACGCTGTGCTGTTATACAAAATCTCCACCGACACGCAGAGTTTGCTACTGTGTAAAACCGATCGTTTTTACAGTCGAATCTCAATTCAAATTTGAAGGAGCCTGTAAATTTGTTCAAATTACAAGAAGTTCGAATTAATGAATGCTAAATAAACGGAGGTCTCTCCATGCAGTGGTGCATGTGCATTGAGCTAACACATGAGGGGGAAGTTTCAGAAGACTTACCGTATTTACTCGATTCTACCGCGCCCTCGATTGTAACGCGCACCCGATTTCCACCGCGAAAAAAAAAAAAAAAAGTAAGACATCGATTGCAACGCGCACCCATTTTTCTCGCTGGCTTGCACGATCACACCACTCGAAAAAACGACTCCTTTTGGGAGCGTCTTCCATTCAAATATGAGGTACGGGCAAAGCTTGTGCCCATCTGACGTGTAACAGAGCATTGCCGTCACTGTAGTTTTGCTGTGGACCGATGTCAGCACGCAAACTTGCTTCGCCCCCTTCTTCTCGACGGTTGTGGTGCCAGGCATGTCGAAGTAAAAAGGCGTCTGATCGGCATTCCCGATTTGCCCAAGCAGGTAGCCGTTGTTGCGCCGCAAGTTTAGGACGAACCTCTGAAAACTGTGAAGTTTTTCATCGTACTCCTCCGCAAAACTTTTCGCATATGCATGTTCCCCTTCGAAAGGAAAAGCCTTTCCTCTTCATAAAGTTAGTTAACCAGCACCTGCTCGCTTTAAACTGGCTCCGCATTAGACCTTTTTCTAAGATTGCATAGCCCGCACTTGGAGCAGTTCTGTCGTCACAGGCCGCTGTGCCGCTCGCTGCTCAAGCACATACTCGCCGAGCAGCTCTTCCATTTGCGGAAACCGACCCTGCTGTGGTCCACTGAAGCCTTTGCGTGAAGCTTTGCTGTCGACAATCTTCTGCTTTTGTTTCCGTCGGTCCCGCATGCACGTTTCGGGAACTCCGAACGACCGCGATGCGGCCCGATTTCCGCCCGTTTCTGCACACGCGATGACTTTTCTTTTAAAAGTGGCATCGTGGTGCACTCGAGTTTTTGGAGTCGGCGCTTCCACGCCGTCGATGCTAATGCACTACTAGATGACGAACTCCTCAGCACACGTACGAAGTGCCGCACATGGGAAACACATAGGCTGAAATGGCCGACGCGCCATGCCGACGCACATAGGAGGCGGCCATTTTGGATTTGCCGATGGCAATAGATTGACCGTAGTTTTTTTGTTCGTATTCGATTCTAACGGGCATGCGATTTATGAACTCGCTTAACCGGAAAAAAGGTGCGCGTTAGATTTGAGTAATTGCGGTACATTTATTCACAAATTACAGGACATCTGTCATTAATTGAAGCAATTGGTGATGTGCATCTGCACACATTTGCCTTGCAATGAATCGATCGATTTTGCACGCAGCTTGCAAAGCATTTCTACTTCGGCTTCAGCATTCTCCTGGCAAGATAAGTTGCGTGCGGAAATGTCTAGCGCCGACACTCTCTAAAGACGACGACAACAACTACGTAGCCTCTCCACTACGCAGCCGCAGCATGGTCAGCACGTAACGAGAAAGGAGGAGGGTTTCCACGAGAAGAGAAGCAGATCGGCATTTGAGAGAAAACCAACACTCCACGGCAGCTTTTTTTTCTTTTTGCTCTGTTCGCTTGCTTCGTTGAAAGAAGGTTTGCGTGGCAGGCACAGGAAAGGGGAAGCGTGGCACCGGCGTGTGAGAGACACTCCCACCCCTCAAAACGCAGAGCCGTGCTCCCGCAAAGGCAAGGGCTGCAGAAGGTAGTGCCTATTTCTTTTTCTTCAACCGCACATTCATTCAACCTAGCGACATATTTTTTTCCTCTCTCTCTCTTCGCGCACGGCTTTGGAAGGAGAAGGGTCTTTCCGTGGCAGGCACGGAAAAGGGAGAGGCGCGACACGGGTGCATCGCAGATCCGCATTTGAGAGAGAGCAAACATTCCACCGCAGCCTTTTCTTTCTTTTTCCTTTCCTTCTCGCGCAGCGTTGAGATGTCGCAGGTGCCGCCACGGCATCGGGCAGAGTGCTGAGAGCATTTTCGGAGCGCGGTATGTTCTAATTAACCAACGCGCAAGCAAGTGCTTGCGCATTGGAATTATCAGGCGTTTCCGCCCATTGGGATACACATAGCTTTGACGGGACCTCATCGTGAGTTCAAATTAACCGGAAGTTCAAATTAAGCGTGCTCGAATTAATGAGATTCGACTGTAGTTGTGTGCAGCACAATTCAAACTAATCCGATGCCGTCTCTGACGGGACACTGCTGTACAGTATGCAAACGCGTTTGTCGTGACAGTGTTCTTGATGTCCATTTCGCTCCCACATGTGCGGTGATGGCCAGCTCCTTTCGTTTGTAAAGGCAGTGCATCTCTGCGGCATACTTAGCGGTCTCGCTCAAAGAGGCAGCATAAACAGTGGCATGGTGCATTAGGGTTATCACCTATTGGAAAAATTGGCCCCATATCTGTATGTTAATCTGCAAATTTCGTCGAAAGACGATAGTCTTGCGTGTGGAGAGAGTGAAAAAACATTTATTTGTTGTTCTGCGCAAGAAAATCAATGAATGGTATTCTGGAGGCGCTGCGTTAGAGTGCCTCGAGCGTGCAGCGGAGGCGAATGAGCGCATCAAGTCATGTCACACGTGAGACACGAGCGCCATCTGGCAGCTTTTTTTTTTTGGAAAATGAAGCGCAAGGCCCTGAGACGAGCATGCGCACCTGTCTCGGAGGTGATGAGGTGTAGAACGAAAGGCGATGGGTAGGTGCCACCACCGTGTGTCGTCTTAGCAAAGCGTTGGAAACGCTTGCCTTTTCGTGCAAGCCTTGCATGGTCAGGGCTACGTGATAAACGCTACGCTCCTTAGAATTACTCATGTATATCTTTTCTAGTAAGAGAGAGACATACAGAATATTGATGTGTTGTTATGGTGTCTTAGATATGTGCAATAATTACTTTTTAATTGGCAATCACACAAGTCTGAACGCTGAATCTTGAGCAACATTAGTGGGCGCTGGGGATGGGATCGGTCGTTTGGGGTATCGGCTGGTACCCAGTTCGCGGTAAGGGTGGACAAACAGACAAATGTACACACAGACAGATCAAAATTGTTGCGAAGCTCCCCAGAAAGACTATCGTCTTTAAAAGCATGCAGTACGCTCATAACGACGCTACCCCACATGCACTACTGAGCACTTGGCTAGAAATTCTTATCATAAAGGGTTGTCAGCAATTAGCCACACTGGTGCGTTTGTCGCTTGTTGCTATCACACCTCCGCACATTTCCGATGCTTATCCAAAGCATCACCGTACTGTGCCGCAGTTGTGGCCCCGTCAGACTTTCGGTCTGCTTCACCCCATACCATTTAAGCATGGGGGTGAAGCTGACTTTAGGACATTAACTGCGACAGCAAACACGTCAACTTACAAAAGTGCCGATTTATGCACACGAGATTTGGACATAGCTGAGCTGGGGTTGCAATGAATGTTGTTTCGAACATGGGGGCAGGAATTTGAAAAATTGAATTCAACAGCTAAGAAAAATATACATATGCTAGGGATGTCCGAAATTCAAGGTGTTATTACACACTGGCTTGTGACGGTGCCGTACAGCATCTGAATGTTTATGCATATCTGAAAAATTGGGCAGCCAAAAAATGTACTTGTGGATATATAAATGGCCGGCATGCGAGCTGCTTTGTGAACACCTTCATGGCTACAAGACGTTACCAAGACGCTCGCTGTAGTCAAGACGTTACCAAGGCAACCCAGCCAACTTTGAAATTCACAAGTCGAGCCAACGTTCTGCTTGTTCATCATATGGCAATTGTAGTGACTATATTTGAGCATGTGATGACTCTTCCAGGCATGCCTTACTCTTGGGCTGGTGCACCAGCTGCCCCGTATCCTAAAATGCTCACTTTTAAGCGGTCAAGCAATTCTCATGCAAAAGATTTAAAATACAGTGAAACCTGCTTATAACAAACCTTGAAATAACGAATTTCTCGATATAACAAAGTTTTTTGATGTTATTTATTTATTGATACTGTTAGCCAAAGGCCGTTACAGGGTGGGGTAAAGAAATACACTTCGCTTGTTGACACAAGCACAACAAAATGAAATCAATAAAGACAACACAATGGGCAGTTTTAACAGAGGACCAATGCAACAGGTAAGTTAATTAAGGTTTACACAGTAGTCACCAACGATT